TTTTAATTTCAAGGGTTCTTTTTGTTATTTGGTGGTTGGTTTTTTTTTTCCAACAAGCTAATGGGAACTTGAATTGTAAAGTGATTTTATTTTGAGGAACACAACATAAATAGGTATTATTTTAAGGCTAATGTACTGAATTAGACAAATAGAGTTTATAAACTGAAGTTTTTTGAAAGAAAACATGCTTCATTGGGTGACATTTGCTAAAAACACTTGCATTCATCATGTCTTGATGCCTTCATAGCTTATTTATGCCTCTGTTAATGCTGTCTGCTCTGGTGGCGAAGCTCCCACATAAGTAGTAATATAAATCAGTAGGATGCCAAAAGTCAACCACACTGCAACATTTTAAAGCTGCTGGGAAAGAGAGACTCATGAATACAAAATGCTGAAAATCAATAGTAAAAAAGCATCCAGTCACACCAAATCAGGCTCTGACCCTTTTACCCCTTAAGAGTTTCGTCGTGGCTAGGCAGTTGGTTACCGGTGCTGCACGGCCGGGTTCTCTGCCTGCTGCAGAAGAGGAGGGCAGGGCCCATGGTGGAGCGAGTTGCATTTTCATATGAGTCAGGATCAAACTAATGGACCCAGCTCCTGGAACTACTGGAGATGCCGGGCTAGTGCCTCATCTCCTCCATGCTAGCAGAAATACATGTGAAACACATTCAGAAACCAGCCCGCATTCTCCTGGACATCATGTGAAGCTATGGCACTAATAATTTCTGGCCGCTGAAGAGCTAAGTCTCGATTCTGAGCCTATATGCATACAAATTAAAAGTGACTCTTGTGAAGCTAATATGTTGGTGAATCAGAGTAAGTGAGATCTACAACATGAGTCCCTCTACCATTGTTGGCCCCAGTATTTTGGTTTGGTTTCAAAGAAATAACTACACTTCGGTGTTACCTGCAACTTTTTTCTTTCTTTTCAAAGAAAAATCTTCAAATTCTGAAAGATTGGTGGCAGCTAATTTGGGGGCAGTATAGAGACAAATCTCTGATTCAATGAAAAAGAACATGTTAAAACATGTTCAAATGTGGTTGCAGATCAGTGCAGGTACATGCAATGACTCTTTCATTCAACCAACACATCAGGTACGTTCAAGGTTGTAGAAGAGATTTAGTTTTAGCTTCTGGTGTTTTCTTTAGCCCTAATACTTTATGAAATAAAAATCAAGATCTAAATGATAAGCAAGTAAATAAATAATCACGCAAGCCATTCTGAAAAGTCCTGCCCTTTCCTTCTCAAAAAATCATTAGATAAGACCGTACCATCAAAATGAACAAACTTTCTGAGGTATTCTCCCCCTAAAATGTGAACACAACTCTCTGTTATCCCCCCAGTTGACACACACAGAATGAATCTTTATAAAAGGTGTGTTTTGTCCTGCCTAGGGATACATGAACCTAAGCAATATCTTACAGAGATTTTAATTTAATCTTTCATGTAGCCAGGGAGCTTTAAGCTGTAGTGCTTTTAATTTATGTTACCTCATAAATTAATAATGTAGGTATGACGGAGGGTAGCTCATCAGATTAAATGTGTCATTTTATAAAGCAGTTTGGAAGCAAAAAGTATGAAGCCAAAATGAAGTACTCTTAAATGATCCATTAGGCACATAAATCATTACATGTGTTATTTCTGGACTGGACAATGGTTGAAATGAATGATAATTTAGTTACTGTAATTTTATTTTAAGCTAGTGAGCACTTGCACAAGAACTAAGAGAGAGGCGCTGACCCTGGCATGCTCTTCTGTGGTCCGCCAGAGCTCTCTGCGTCACTCCCCACAGACACAGACCTGTGCCAAGGGTGCGTGGCAAATGTGGGACAAGTTCTCCCTGAGCAGTCTACGCCTGGGCACAACTCTGGCATTTGATGGAGCTGCACAGGGAGCGAGCCTAGAGCAGTTTGGAGGTGAATGTATGAATTTTGGTTTGCTTTGAAGAGTGACTCTCTCCCCATGCTGTGGACACAACTTATTGATAGTCTACTGCAGCTTAAATAGAAAGCTCCTTACCATGCAATACGGGTCAATCAGAAATCCTTAATACTTTACATTATGGCCTAATACTCAAAATCTTATAAAGATACTGAATAAACCTGCTCTTAAATTTAATGTGCTACTATAAAATTTTGGTGGCAAATTTATTACAATTATATATTAAAAAAAAAAAAAATCTGTGCAGATTTGAACTGATTTGGGTCCATGACAGGTATGTTCCTCCGTGAGACCACAAAACACACAAATTCATACATTTACAGCATAGTATATGTACATAGTGGTACAATACAATAGGAATTTAAACCCACAATAAACCATATAATCTGCATAGGAGGGACTATACATCTATTCACCGTCACTACATTTTATGATCCCTCTGTTGTGTATTTTTTCTAATGGTTGCTGTTCTTCACATGCTCTTTAACCGTAAAGCGAGGTATCCCGAAGCACGCCTGCTGGCTCAGGCTCTGCAAAGCCACCCACCGAGGAAGGGGCGGTGGAAGGCGCTGCCTGTGCTGCTGGGAGGGGAGGCTGAGCTGCCCAGCCCTGCTGAGGAGCCCCGCGGCTGCACAGGTCTCCTTGGGGAGCTTTGCTGCCAAAGAACATGAGGTGCCTGTGGATTTTAGCAAACTGTGTAGGCAAGATCTGAGAATGCCTTCCTTTACTACCTCACTGCTAAGGTGACTTAGATGTCATATTTCCACCTTCTCCCACTACCACCTTTTCATTTATCTCGTTGCAAATTCCTGCCAGGGAGCTCAGGTAATATATAAAATATAGATGAAGGTGAAGGATAAAAGAAGCAGAAAGTGATTATGCAAGCTTCTTGTTAGTTCCAGGTCAGAATTGTCTTATTTTAACTCTCCAGAAGTCCATGAAATGCCTCCCTAACATATCCAACTATGCCTGGAGTGCAAGCTTTCCTGAAGATGTTACTGGCTCATATAGAGCTGCACAGTCTCTGTATATCTCTTTCTCTCTATATATGCATATGTATATATAATATACAAAAGGAGGGAATAATTAAGAGGGGATGCTGGAAGACAGTGTTTGGGTTTTCTGACGTACATGCATGTGCATCTCAGCCGTAATGGAGCAAGCAGATGAACAGTAATTCTTTCCACAGTAATTCTTAGTGCAGCACCACCGAAAGGTCTCAGTTTAGATAGTGGACATGCTAAAGCAGACACTATGTAAACACATGGTAAGGGACAGTCCTCCCTCCTCCCTAAAGGACTGTCTCATCCAAATGAACGGAGAGTACGAGGAAATCAGAGGTCTGTAGTGACTTGCTCAAAACCACAGAACAGATCTGGAGCAAAGCTAGGAACCAAAGCCATATCTCCAAACACTCAAGTCTACCCTGACACCAAGAAAAACCTCTGTAGATTAACCCTATTCAATCTGCTGGTCAGACACACAAATGCACATTCTTTACTAAGCCTGCTGCAAGCTTACCTGTAATGATGTCCCCCTGCACCCCAAACAGGCTGCAGGGCTTGTAGCTGCTCTTCAACTCAGCCATCATTTAATTAAATGGAAGACATAAAACTACCAACCGTATCCATTAACTGCAGCAACAATGAGTATAATGCTCTGGTTTTAACCCCAGGGATCTGGCGAACCACAACCGCTCACCCCAGAATTCAGCAGTATTTAATACATTATCTGAGAGCAGCTGGAAAGAAAAACACTTAAAAACCAAAGAAATGAAAAGGTAGTTGTTTTGGGCTAGCATTTGTTATTGTTTTTAGATTAAACTGTTGCTTTCTCTAACCTCCATACTTCTCTCATCTCTGAAGCAACCGTGTTTGCTGTGGAGTAAACAACAAATACAAACTGAAGTGCAGGAAACATGAGATCTCAGGAAAATGCCTTTAAAACTTCTGGATACTGCTCTAGGACCTGCAGTGAGCAGTGAAATTCCTTTATCTGCAGCCCCCAAATGATTTAGAAGATGAAGAAACTGTAACGATGGCTAAGGAGCAAAGTTTCAGCATTTAGAATCTTAACCCTAGTCATCTGAGGTACAGCATTTCCCGAGTACCCTAGTTTCTTAGATTTTTCCTGTAGTAAGTTTCCACCTTGCTGCTGCACAGCTGGAAGCTGAGAAATGTGTCCTTCTTACTGTTTACTTTCTGAGCTACTTCATTAAAAGGCTGTGAGCCCCACTGTGTAACAGAAGGGGAAAACGTTGTTCACATCCTTCCACGTATCGGGGAAGCTCTCTGACACGGGACATCTTGATGGCTGAGTCATCCCATCTGTCCCAGACACCTCTCAGGCCAAAACGAGCTGAGCTGAAGGAGTGCTCACCAAGAGGCAGTCCTTCAAGCAGCCAGAGCATCCTCAGCCCTTCACAGAGGACAGGCACACCGGGCTGCCCATGAGCACTTCAGGCTTTGTGGGTTTTGCTTGCTGTAAAGACAAGGTGTGCTGGAGACAAAGTGCTGCCTTTGGTTACGACTGCGCTTCCTCACGGAAATAAACACAACAGCTTGGGTTTAACTGGGATCAGAGCTTGGCCTTTGAAGTCAGGGACATAATGCCAGGAAAATACTGCAACACTTTGTACTTGGCTATTCAAGGCACTGTACTAGTCTCGAGTTTGGAAAAGAAAAGCTTACTTAGCTTACTCAGAGATTGCCACGAAAGTCAGCTGTGGGTAGAGGAAGAAGATATTAATTAAAAAATGAGGTTCACAGAGGTTTGAACAGAAAACTCTTGAGAAGTAATTGCAGCAAATGCAGACTTTCATTACATGACTTGTAGTATTGGGAATAAACCTGGATTTCTTACTGTTGGAGTGAAATCGTATTGAGAATAACATAGCACCTAGCACAGGACACATAACAAATTCAGAACATCCTTTAACAAACCTGGAGAGGAAAGCAAATGCAAGTTTGATTTAACTGACTGATTTGAATAAAATGTCCGCTGGACATAGAGCAGCATGCAAGAGCCACAGGAGAAAAAAAAAAAAAAGCTTCCATACCTGTATCTTTGCTTTGGAGACTGCTTTTCAGCTGACTTAAAAACATGTCCAAGATAATACAAAGGAAAGAATAAAAAGTTCCAGTTTGTTGCAAACCACGTTAGAGTGAAGGGTGCATCGAACTTCTTAAAGGTCAGTTTTGCTAGCTGGGTTGAACCTGACCAAGAGGAGCAGACACCCAGGACCACGGCCACACCCCAGAAAATCTTCTTCAGTTGCGTCACGGAGCATTTCCAGCAACAGCGGTTCACCCTTCCACCGCCTTCCGCCCCGGCTTGCATCTGTGCTTCGGCTGGGGCTGGAGACTCCCGGGAGCGCTCATCCCCTGGGGAGAAGAAAACACAAGGCTTGCTAAGGAAATCCAGCCTGCATTTTAGTTTTCAAATCCTAGGCTCTTCTGAAGTCACATGGAGCTTCACCAGCAAAAGAACCCACCAGATCTTGCCACAAAATGTCCTTCGTTTTTAGATCATTGCAAAGCCTCTGGTTCAACTGAGGCATAATTACAATGCAAATAATAATTATCACCTCTAGATTTAGAAGGCACTGGATAAAATGGAAATGAAAATTACATGTTGCTCTGATGTACATAGAAAGGCTTAACACACCACTTAAACTGATGCTGTTAAGATGTGTAAATGAATGAAAAATATGGCACTGAGTTTAATAAAGCAGCAAAGGGGATTACAACACTTGGAATTGTTATTGTCTTGGAAAATGTGGAATTGGGCAGCTTATGGAATATGGTGTTTCTTAAAAGGAGAGGGGGGACAATGTATTTAATCTTGCAGTTAAGCACAATCACTGCAATGTAAATAGCACAATTAATACTGAACTTGGATCACCAGGCATTGCAGTGATCCCTAAAAAGACAGCTCTCCTGAGGCTGTAGCCAGATGGCAAAAATCAGACCAACCCACACACTGCCCTGAAGAGCATCTCAGACTAGGCAACACTAACTTTTTTTAGCTCAAGTCCTGCACCAAATGAGACTGGACTGGAACTTTGCCCTGGTATCACTGAGCCTAGCATGCTACTAGAAATTTCTCTCCTAAAAAACCTTGCCCCTTACATCCTTAAACATGAATTGTTGTAGCCCTGCTGTCATACCACTATCGGCAGATATTGTATCCAGCTTGTGAATGAATGAGCCCAGTGAGGTTAGGTGGTTCAGTTCCCACGGAGATCAAAACGTGCTGGCAGACCTCAGCAGCAGGCCACTGCCTTTAGGGCTTTCACCTGCCTTTCTTAAATTCACCCCATTTAACATCTGCTAAAGCCATCGGTCACCCGCATGCACACTCAGCAGTGATTTCTCTTAAAGGCTGACTTCAGTTTAGTCGGTCCATTCACTGGAAGGAGGATGTAATAGTAATTCATGTTGACAGCCAAGAACCTACAACTTCAAAAGTGTCCAGAGGTCATTGCATGCATTGAAAGGTGAAAAGAGAAATATAAGTACAGCCAGGACAATGAGATGGTATTCTTGCCAAACATTTATATATGTTCAAGGCAGACTAAAAGAGATCCACACCCAAAAAAATCCTTCCTTATCCTGGTGAGAATCAGTATTTAGAATGGAAAATCTCTTAAACCCCTTATTTCACATTAACCTAAATTTGTATTTACAGGAGCTAATACATTATTAAAGAAAAGGTTTATTCCAATGGAGAGAACTACTTAATTATTTCTTCACAGATAAGAAATGCATGATCTGAGCTAAAAGTACCACTAGTTTGCCTAGTAAAGCTGTATTTTGTAACAGGAAAAACTGTGGTTTGATATCTTGAAGTCTAAAAAGAGTGTACAGCAGCAAAGGTATAAACATCTAGTCTTTCTGAGTGGCATTAAGAGAGATGGGGATTTTGCTGATCTCTCCACTTATTTCAGTTTTCTATAGAAGATTGTGTGGGCAGCTTCCCACATAACAGGAGATGCACCAGCAGGCCAATGAATTACCCAAAGTTAATGTGGCTTTGTATTAAATACGTAATGGAAAGGTTACAAGCTACCTGCTAAATGTTTGAAGAAGCTAGAATTGAAAAAAAGGCTGCCTGTGAAACCTTAGCTCATTCAAAATCATTTCAATACATTTGCTTTTTAATACATTGCTTGTAACTAATGCTTCTTGCCTCACTCGCTGCACAGACCAGTCAGGGTTCAGTTTACCAAACGACGGTACATTTATTTCTTTTAACTTCACCACGCAATGGACAGCTGCCAGCGCTCTCTTTGCTGTCCACCACACAAGTCTCACAATGATTACTGAATTTTTCCTTTCCTCTCAAGCTTTTCTACTGGGTGTTGTCACTGTAACACCAAAAACTTCACACCTCCTAACCACCTCCAGCATCCTTCCCATGGACCACTGGGAGAGCTGGGCACAGAAAAAACAAATCCAGGCAGCCAGGGTGCCGAGCGAGAGCTTAGGAGGGGTTTGTGCCACTGTGTCAATGCAGGGAAGAGCCTTCCTCCACTCACAGTTTACATTTTTGAAACTACTTGCAGAGGTAGGCAAAAATGTTCCTCCTTCTAGAAGACAGCCAGCAGGATACCTGCCGTCCCCGTCTTCTCTGCAGTTACTCCCCCAAGGAAGCAGGAAACTGGGATTTAAACCCTTCCTGCTGAAGATATTTAACATTAGGGAACATGCCTTAAACCACTAGGGTACATGGTATCTCAAGATGAGTAGGTACTCTGAATCACAACATTGAAGCTGTGTTATTTTTTCTAAAATAAGAACTGATCACTGAGACAGCAGGATACCATGTCTGGCCCTCTGGCCCAGTAATCTTGGCCATCACTGAGAAGGGGGAAGATCACAACTATACCATCTGATGCACCAGACAACATAAAATAATGCAGTGTTTGGTGGACACCCCACAGCAGACACTGGTGAGGATCTTCTCCCCACCAAGGGCTGAAGCCACCCATCCTGCTCCCCATTGCACTGTGCACGTACGCATGAGTCAGCAGCTCATTTGGACAGCTTGCATGAATATCACTGCCTTTTAACTCTATTCCATAGCAGTTACTCCCTACGGAACAAAGCTAAACTTTACTGATGTTTTCTCTGCTCCACAGGCAAAATGACTTGTCCAGGTACATTTAATTTTGCATTAAATACACCAACAGAAACATTCACTTTCTGCAAAAGACAATACTGCATGTATCACTTCTAAAGTGACCTTGCAGCTCAAGGGTTACATTTCTAGGGATGCGCATTCTTTGGATGCATTTACATGCTGGATGGAGTAAAAATTTATCCTAGGCATGATTGGTTTCAAGATGATGAGCCCCATATTTTGGGGTAAAAATCACTGACCCGGTGATTAGCAGTTACAGGCTGAAACTTCTTTTAACTATCCGTCAGTGAAATTGCATCGTGCCCTCATGATTTCCTGTGCTGCCGGAGGGCTAGATGCCAAATGGGCACAGCCTTGTACTGCACTGTCCTGGAGGATACCTGGGACGTCATCTGCCCCAATCAGTCTTTGGAAATGGTGGATACCACAGATGATAGACACCCATGTGGTCCCATCCTCCCATTTACCACGTGAGGGACTTGCCTGCCAGCTGGCATGCATAACACCCAGAGCTGTACCTTTCCCTGCCCAGTCCTTGTGTCCCAATGGGGACAGTTTTTGTCACCCAAGTTGCAGGTGCACAGATGGGGTGACATCAAACCCACACATGGATAAGAAGCTCCTCACTGTCTTTCTAACATTGCTCAAGGGCCAGCTGGCAACAGAATGCACATGGATTTAAAGATGGCAAAATGGCTTTTCAGAATGGATGAGGCAGGACACTAAAGAATTTTATTTCTGGACATCCTGCTCCAGACTTCTAATGGGTTTCTTCCTTTACCCCTTGCAGCAGACTGCTCTGTATGCTACTGTATCCCCCAAAAGAATAAATCAAGATGCTGAGATAGAGGAAAAATGCCTATCTTGCTTTTACTAAATTTGGCTTTTCATTCTCCCTTTTGTTCATTCATTTTCCTGTTTCATAAATCCCAACTGGAACCGCTCTTCCTCCCTCTCTTTCAGCCAACCTCTCTCCCGTGGCATTCAGAAGCAATGGAAGGAAATCACCTCCAGTGGTACTGCCAATACCCACAGGGATGTGAACCGCAGAAAACAGCCATCCTTCTGTTTCCTCCCTTATGGGTGAGACACCTCTCAGCTGACTTCAGATACCTGTGGTAGTGACATCTAAACCTGAGCTCCTCACTCCACTCTCCTGGCTGAGGCCATGGAGGAAAAACAGGCACTGGAAGACACTACACACCCCACGTAAGGTAGATGCCTTAGATGATGTGCCCTTCGTTACTGACTACAGATGCTTGCACTGGGTTAGAGAAAACCCACCCCAGCAGAGGTAATACCTTTAAATAGCCTGTCCAGACCACTTCAAAAGTGCTTTAAGACTTAAGACTCCTGTGCACAGCTAGCCAGTTAAAGACTTACCATAGGACCACAGTGTACCTCACTGTGTATGTTAAAAATGTAATATTGATAAAAACCAAGGGCGGCATTCATCTTCTCAGCTTGAGACATCTGCTGTGCAGACTTGTATATCTGAGACAGTCATTTACACTTTCTGCATAGTTAGTAGACAGAAAAAAGACATTTCCATAGCACGATTTATCTCCTCCTAAAGTAGACGATTAAAACAAGCCAGATGAATCACCCCCTCCAAGTGCTTGTTTCTCTCCACCAGCTCTCAACAGTCTGGGGCGACAAGCACAGAAGTAGGTGTCTCTAGTGTAGGTGTCTGAAGCTGGGTGAGATGAGTCCCACCTCTCCGCTGCTACTGTCAGAAACAGAGAGTAAAGCCACCGCAGACAGCACTGGTAGGCTCAGAGCTGGGCACCGCTACACAAACATATTTAGCTGTCACCAATGAACTGCTTTAGCTGTTGCCAGCTAGTCAGCAAATGAGTGAAAGAAGTATGACAAAAGTGCTGGGTGCCCTTGCCAACCCTTCAGAGTGAGAAAGTGACTCTCACAGACTAAGGTCCTGCCTATTAGGGACTGAAACATGTGCCTAATATTAACGCACAACTCCGCCAGCTTCCCCAGGCTATGAAAATGCTTCAACACAAGCATATTCTTAAACAGCTCTTTAAATCAGGCTTCTAGAAAAAATTCTGAAAAAGGAAAGAATCCTCACAGGTCTCTCTGACAATTACAAATGAGCCATCCTCAAGGCATTTCCATTTTGCCAGCCTCTCAAATGTTTTGCCTGGGCATTGCACAGAACTAGTTTGTAAAGCTTGCAAAAAATATATGCTTATCAAAAATAGGGGAGAAGGAGCTGAGG